ACAATTTGCTCTCTCTCTCTCTCTCTCTCTCTCTATTTCTCTCTCTTTCCCTCCCTCTTTCTCTCCCCCCCCCTACCCACCCTTTTCTCCGCACCTTGCAGGACATGGGGTATAGCAGCAGCATGCGTGGCGTCTCGACACGACGTGGACCCGTAAGATGTCCGTGGGCTTCCGTCCCAACGGCTCGGCGTCTAGACGCTAGAAGCTTCGTGCAGCTGTGCAGGTACTACTCCAATCGTCGCCATAGTGCCCCTCGGGCCCGAGAGTCTCGACGCCGTCTGTCCGTCTGTGCAGTTCGCTGCTGCTGCTGATACTTCTTCTGCAGCTACTGCTGCTGCTACTACTGCTGCAGCTGTTGGTGGCGGTGTCTGGTATGCGCGCAATGCGGCCATGAGGTCATGCGCACCCCCACGCCCCCTCCTCACCCGCGACACCTTGCCGGTGGTGCACGCCATCTATTTTCGCCCCACCCCGCCCCGCGGCCCGGCTCTGCGATATGTGTCTGGGATGCCACTCCACTGTCCCGCCGCGAGTGTCCCGCTGCAGCAGGCTGCTCGCAGGCTTCGGCTCATTAATCGTTTGTTCGCCCCGTCCCTGCTATCTCGAGTGCAGTGTGCACTGCTGTGCAGCCCCCCTCCCTCACCAACATTCTCTACAAGGACGGGTTTAATCGAACCGGCAGCCCTGTGCCGGCTCCGTCACCTCCCCATCACCGCCGTCGTCTGCAAAGCTGTATAGTTAATTTTAAGTGTTAAATGAAAACAAAACAAGCGTTTTAAAAAACACCAATCTTTATTCAAAACTCCCATTTCCAAATAAAAAGTGCAATAAAGTAAACAACAATAATAGGGTTTTTGATCACACATCTCACAAACAATGAAGCACCGCTCCCTTCGTCGTACCGTACAGGGATCGGGGAGCATCAGGCTTGATGTTCAGACCACAGGTTGGCGATGCCATCCAAGACGCATCTGACCTGATCGGAAATGACCGAGGTGCCTTAGCTCTCGTTTTTGCATCTCGCCTATCATGTTGTAGTAAGGCAAGCAACACCCAAAGCGAACGTCTATACTTCACAAGCAAGCTATATAGTGGAATAATCTATAAATATAAATCTGTTTGTCATGTAATTGCTAGGAGAGCTCCAAACTTTGTGGAGTTGGACCGAAGTACATTAGTAAACAAAGCTATGAGCAAAACAGCTGTGAGTCCTCCTACCTTTACGCCAGCTCACTCCTCCCACCACTCTCCAAACATGAGGAATTCACATCTCTTTCATCTTAATAAAGGAATAATAAATACAGGTCCCTCGCTCCCTCATAATAGGCTCTTGCTCCATAATTCTTTTTTTATTCACGTGTACATAGATCACACATAACGTACAAAAGAGGTTAAATATATACAGACAGCAGACTCCGCGTCGCGTCACCAGCCCCTGGCGCCACGAGGCGGGGCCGGGGGCAGACAGCTTGGACCAGACGGCAAGGCACGGCGCGGCACAGCTGGGCACCCGGCCCGCCACCGCACCGGGCCTCTAGAGAGACACCTTACGGTCCATCTAGGCCTCACTCGGCTTCTTGGCCTGAGAGCCAAGAGATGCATCGAACAGTGCAGGATCAAATGCAAATTTTGCCCTGGAGTAACAAGTACTTCACAATAATTACTGTCACTAGCAAAATTTAACTTTAAGGTAGATATTAATTTTAAACACATTTCGTTCCGTGTCCATTTTTGGGAAGCCGACACTCCCATTTCTTCTTTGATATCATCACATCCAAGTCACAAGAGAGCGGGGTGACAATAGATAGCTGGTTGATTACCGAACAGCAAAAACGTTTTCAGACCGAAACAGATGGTAAAATCTTGGAAAATAATCCAATTTTAGAAATTTAGAAGACTGCAAAAGTATAGGGAAATCCTCGGCGCCCACTAAAGTCACCCCGCTCTCCGTCGTCGAGCGTGTCCTCGCGGAGGGCGACCCGCCCGTCCGGCACGAGCGCGCCTAGAAGGTGACGGTCTTCTTCTCGCTGCGCAGGCTCGACTTGACGCTGCGGAAGCTGCTGTCCTCGTCGGAGGCGCGGTCCGCGGACTCGGCCACCAGCGAGCGCAGCTGGGCGGCGCGTCGCTCCCGCAGCGCTCCCCTCTCGGCCAGGTCCTCCATCTCGTTCTCCAGGTCCTGCAGGCGGTTGCGCGTCTGGCGCGCCCGGCTGATGGCGGCGGCCTCGGAGGCGCTCTCCAGGGCGAGCGGTGAGCCCGCGTTCACCTTGGTCCACCGGGTGAGGTCGCCGCTCTCCTTTGCGGCGGACTGTTCGACGTCCTGGGTGACGCGCAGCACCCTCTTCTTGATGATGGTGGAGCTCGACAGGTCGCTGTCCAGGTCCAGCTTGCGGAGCCCGACCGTCTCCAGGGCGCGGTCCGCCAGGGACTGCTCGCGCTCGTTCTTCATGGCGACCAGGTTGCGGCGCCGGATGGACACCGAGTCGTTGGCGTCGTCCTCGGCCTCCTCCATGCGGCGCGCGCGCGCCCGACGCACCTCCTCGATGGCGTCGTCGATGTCGTAGCCGTTGGAGGCGCCGTTGGCGGCCAGGGAGGACGCCCGGAGCCCGGCACCGCCGCGCTCGCGCTCACCGCGCGCCGTCGGCCGGTTCTCGAAGATGTCGTCGAACTCGCGGAGCGCGGCGGAGGCGGCGCCGGACAGCGGCTTGCGGCCCACCTCGGGCGTGTTGCCGATGGAGTCCTCGAAGTCACCGATGAGGGCCGAGCCCGCCCGCCTCGTCCTGGACAACCAGGCACACCGTCAACGCCTCGCCCGGTCACCCTCGGTCTCTTAACCCTTGCCTTGTGATCCGGTTATAGAGCAAATTGTTTACTATTTTCAATTTTGACTGTAAGTGCGGCTTTTTGTTGGTTATCATAGCATTTGGATTAAAAGTTATTGACGTATTTATTTTATAGTTGCAGTAGGTTGTATCATGCTACATTGTGTATGAAACATATAATGCGCAAAATGCAAAACAAAAATCATTTATTGTATATTTGTGGAACTTTGGTTGAGATTGGAAAGGGTTAAGTGAACGAGAGGCGATCTCAGTCTGCATTAGGGCATTTTTCGAGGGTTAATGTACGAACGTTCCCACCATAGACAACAAAAATTACAAAAAAATATAATATACAAAACCAAAAATAAAATTGGAGATGCGGGTTAAAAGCCATTATTCGAGCAGACGGCTGTTGTCTCTCGAGTGTCTGTTCTCTACGACAACAACAAAAGCAATATATTATAGCGTGTAGGTTCAAATCAAAATTTGGTGTGCAGGATGAATTTGTGAAAACTTGACGATGAAACGAAATATGGTGGTATAGCACTCATATCGTTGGGTGTCAGGAAGTGCTGTGCAAGTGGGAAATCACTCAACGCAACGTTCCGATATAAAATTGGGATGTATTTTGAGTTGCTGACGTTGACAAATGACAAATGTACAAATCTTGAATCAAAAACAAAAAAAATATTCCATTTTATGGGAGATGTCGCGGCGAATAAAGGATCTGATCTAAAAAGCGATTACAAGAAGCGCTACAGGCTTAGAATCTAATCCAGGGATGGATACCGGTCACCGGGCTCGACAAGGGCAGGAAGGGGAAAGACCTGGAATCACACAAGGCCGCACCGCAGCGCCAAGGTCTCATATCAGTGCTCATCCATGGCTCGGCACTCCCAGAAGGAGGGGGCAATTCAAAACAAACGGGGCAGTGGAATGTCTACCCGCGTGGTAGGAACCATGCCAGCCAACATGCTAGACTACCAACATGACCCACGTGGCCCAAGTACACAAAAGATTTATATATATACAATTCAACACACACCCATAAAAATCAAGTGATAATTACCACTCCCATGAAGTGAAACATGATGAAACAATAAAGATATTTGGATATGATATATGCAATAACAATAATAACAGCATCAAGCAACACGATAACATTGATAATGGGGATGTAACTCCGATGGTGCTCACGTGAAGTAGTTGGTCCCCACACTCCCAAAAACACACACGCATCCAAAGATTTGCGATTGTTACATTGAACCGTCATATTAGGTAGTGCAAAATTCGCAAATCTAAAATACCACACACATTTTTGCTACATAAAATATATGGTTACTTCAAAAATACCAAAAGATTTTGAATAGTGTGTTGGCTGTGCGCTTTAACAAGCTGTTGCTTCTCAGTCCGAAACTTGGACTCCACCCAAAGAGGCGGACAACGAGAGCAGAGACAGCGCAGCACCGGCCTGCCAGCGTATTGACGTGATTATCACCCAAAAGCAACGCATACGTGTTGCTGTTAAGGTAAGTTGCCTATATTTATCTAATTGATTTTTACTGCTTTATCGTCTTTTAAATAAATTTTTATCTTGGAACGAGTGTGTGTACCAGAGTGTGTCGGTATTTACAAACATTTACATTCACACACAGGGTATTTTGTATAAACGAGCAGAATTATACCGTTTCTGGTAACGGAGGAAACAAAGTAAAGCAAGTACGGGATATGTACACACGTACAAAAGACTAGTAAACGTGCAGAGGGAAGGACAGCGTCGTGAAGAAGACGAATAAGAAGACAAAGAGAAAGCGAGTGACAGGAAAACACAACAGGGCTCCCAACCTGCGTCATTCAATCACGAGTGAAGGTCTTAACTTTGGCCACGTCGGTCATTAGCGAGTTTCACTATCAAAGTCAAGTTAAGCAGGTGTTTGACAAGGACACTCCTAACGAGCTATTCCTCCCCTCACTCGCGTCCACGGGGGGCGGGCGTGTCGTAAAACGTTACGCGCCGACCATGTAAGTCAAGAACACCATCTGTCTGTTGCACACAGGCGGGCGTCTAGGGGTCGTCCCCTTACTCACACGGGGTGGATTGAGTTGGGTGAAATAAAAAGAAAAGAACTCTCGGTCCTCGGGTGTATGTGACATTGCGCTCACCTGAACAGGTCCTGCTCCTCCTGGTTGACCGGGCGGGTGGCGGGGTAGGCGTTGGGCATCTCGCTGGGTCTGCCGGAGTACTTGCGGTCCAGGTGGTCCATCATGGGCTTGTAGTAGCTCTGGCCGATGTTGTAGTTGCAGTCGTACAGGCGAGTGCGCGGCCGGCTGAGGATCGTGCGGGAGGACATGGTGGTGCTGTGCTGGGTTCCTACAAGGCAGACGGACAGAGAAAGAATATGTGTGAGCTTGGGGACACAAATACTGCAACTTGCAACCAATAAAGCATTACTGTGAAAATCCATAATGTGACGCAAATGCCACAAGCTTGTCACTTGTACTTTGACACGCACAGTTTACAGTCTCCTTATTTACGCCTCACTCTTTTTTAGAGAAGCTCGTGGTGAGCCGCCCCAGCTCAGCAGAGGCCCGGCCCCAGACATCAACTTCCTGGCAGGCATCAACTTAATGCTCCATTGTTCAGTCCACCTTTCCGCACGGTATCGGAGCTAGGACCCAACCGCCCCCGACCCCTCTCCCGGCCCACCGACCTACACTGATGACAATGCGCTGCCCACATACACACTCACACACTCACACACACACACACACACACACACACACACACACACACTGCCAGAAATAATTGCCCGAGGGGTAGAATCCCCCGGCCTAGGCGTCAGCGCCAGACCGCTGCCCGTGCTACGTCCTACGGCAGCTGCACTTGCGAGAGGTTCAGCAGGGGGCGTTCAACCCACTCACCGCCGGGGCCGGGGAGGTCTACGAGGAGAACAAGCGAAAGGCACACCATCACGGTTCGGCGGTCCATTTCTGTATTCGTCGACTCCCCTTTTTGGGCCTGTGTGGTCAGCGGAGTAATATGTAACAGGCGGTACGGGGTGGTGGGTGGAGGGAGGGGGAGGGGGGCAAGGGGACAGGGACCTCCACGAGTCACCTCAAATACGAGCGGATGTGAGGGTGTGGTTTTTACTGCGGCGACGGGGAGGTCCCAGAGTGTCGAAACGGTTGGTCGTGTTGTACCCGTTGGACCGCACATCAGCACAGCACACGTGGTGGCGGTCTCCCCATCAAAGCGGTCCCCACAGTCCCGCGACCCCCGCCACAGCCACACCCCTCGTCGAAAACGAAATAAGGACTTTTCAAATCCGCAACGACCTTGACACGCAAAGTCTAAAATAAAATATAACGGGGTCAGGCCAGGCCGCAGAGAGGAGCCTTTTGCTTCAGGTTTGCGGCCCTGAGGCGCGCGTCGGCCCCGGCTGTTTGTCTGCCGGTAAGCCCCTAGCGCTCGGCCCCGGCCCCGGGGGGCTGCTTGACGTGAACGGTTATTAGAAATTATGCATTCTCTGTGGGCTTGTGAGAGTGTGTGCAAGCGGGAGAGCTTCAAGCTCCTCAAGTGTTGCAGTGTTGTTGCACTCTGGCTGTTGCATGCAGCCTGCGTGCCAAAAAGCCCTCAAACATGACAGGTTTGTGGTGCATGCGGTCTTCCCTCTCGCTATAGTGCCAGGAGGCGGCATGCAGGAGGCGAGCCACGAACCCTACTACTCCAGCGCGGACGTTTCGAGTGCCTGAGTTTGCCACGTTACAGTAACGTAATTTTTTACAATATTTACGAAACATCAAAATAAATATGATTATTTATTTTTTTTGTCAGTGTGGGCATCGTCTACCTCGCTTTCCTGCCTCCTCCAACCTGTTTCGCACGGGATACAGTTGGAGCCCCTAGGCGTCCCGTAGGCAGGCGGTGGCTATTCTTAGGCTCTCACTGTCGGACACTGTGTGCTGTCCCGCCACGCCCCGCAGCGCCACGCCCCAGCACGCCCTGCACCTCGCCGGCCGGCCGGCCGTGGGTGAGGGCGTGGAGGAGGTGGTGTGAGGCTGTGGCAGGCCGCGGGGCGGGGTCATATGGCACGTGGTTAAGCCCTCGAGGCGCTATTGGCGGTTAAACTAGGATGCAACAGTGGAAGCAGATCTGCCCTAGACATAAAGACCGGAAGCACGGTACGAAAAAGTACCCACTAAATTCTTATGAACTTTTTTATGCGCACTTAAGTATTTCTGTAAACTGTGATTCGATGTGTATTACTTTATACTCATTTAGGGACAAAATTTGTCATAGCTGCAAATATTTACCTTGCGAAGAGTTTGTTCGTATAGAGAAGGAATTTGTTCGCAATAATGGAGAATGGTTTTCTTCGCATTACAATGGAAATCGTTCGCAGATCTCGTTCGCGATTGGCTTGCAATTGCAAAGCAGCCACAATCGTTTCGCCAAGGTTTTTACAGTGTGGTTATTTTAAAACCGATGCCGTGGTCCTCCTGTAATCCCCCCAACCACCTACGCACCCCCTCACCCCCTCACCCCCTGTCTCCGTGCGCTCGGCGAGGCGGAGCGCCGCAAATAATACAAACGATTCCGAGTGAAAGCCGGTGGTGGTGGTGGCCGGCGGCAGAGAGATCGCGCGTGACCGTGAACTAGACCGCCAATTATACACGCGGGACGCGGGTCGAATCTTTTCTCTCTGCCCCCCCCCCTTCCCCATCCCCGATTTCCCTCTTTCCTATACTCCTTCCCCGGCATCTGGACAGGTTGATGGAAACAACGAGGGAGCGAGGCGACGTCGCCAAAACATGACGTCAACTGGGGTGGGTTGCT